TTTTTCCCAGTCTGTAGGTTCTCTTTTTACTCTTTTGGTGAAGTCTTTTGAAGAGCATAGGTGTTTGATTTTTAGAAGATCCCAGTAATCTAGCTTATCTTCTGGGGTTTGTGTGTTGATGGTTATGGTTTGTATCCTGTTAATGCCGTCTATTGGGGCCTGTAGCGTTGGTCCTATTTTTCCGTCTATGAACTTTATAGTTTTTGGCTTTATATTTAGTTCTTTGATCCATTTTGAATTCATTTTTGTATATGGCGTGAGGTACGGGTCCTGTTTCATTTTTTTGCCGATGGATATCTAGTTTTGCCAGCACCATTTGTTAAAAAGACTGTCTTTCCCCATTTGATGGACTTTGGGCCCTTGTCGAAGATCAGGTGACCGTAGGTGGATGGATTTACCTCTGGGTTCTCAATTCTGTTCCATTGGTCAATGTATCTGTTGTTGTACCAGTACCAGGCTGTTTTGACTACCGTAGCTGTATAGTAGGTTCTGAGGTCGGGTAGTGTGAGCCCTCCAACTTTATTCTTCTTCTTCAGTAGTGCTTTACTTATTCGGGGCTTCTTCCCTTTTCGTATAAAGTTAATGATTAGTTTTTCTATCTCTTTGAAGAATGTTGTTGGTGTTTGGGTTGGGATTGCATTGTGTTTATAAACTGCTTTCAGTAGAATTGACATTTTCACAATGTTGAGTCTGCCTGTCCATGAGCATAGCATGTTTTTCATTTATGTAGATCCCTTTGGGTTTCTTGCAGTAGTGTTTTGTAGTTTTGTTTGTATAGGTCTTTTACATCCCTGGTTAGATTTATTCCTAACTATTTTATTTTTTTAGGGGCTATTATAAATGGTGTTGTTTTCCTGATTTCCTTTTCATCGTTCTCTTTATTGGTGTATAGGAATCCAACTGATTTTTGTATGTTTATCTTGTATCCTGCTACTCTGCTGAATCTTTCTATCAGTTCCAGTAGATGTCTTGTGGAGTCTTTAGGCTTTTCTATATATAGTGTCATATCATCCGCAAACAGAGACAGTTTAACTTCTTCATTACCTATTTGGATGGCCGTTATTTCTTTTTCTTGTCTTACTGCTCTAGCTAGAACGTCCAGCACACTGTTAAATAGGGGTGGTGATAAAGGCCATCCTTGTCTTGTTCCTGTTTTCAAGGGGAATGTTTTCAGCCTCTCTCCATTAAGAATGATGTTGGCTGTTGGTTTTGCATAGATACTCTTTGTTAGGTTGAGAAATTTCCCTTCTATGCCTATTTTATTGAGAGTTTTTATCAGGAATGGGTGTTGGACTTTGTCGAATGCCTTTTCTGCATTAATTGAGATGATCATGTGATTCTTTCCTTTTATTTATGTGGTGGATTACGTTCATTGATTTTCAAGCAGGTAGGATTTTACAGATTTTTTAATTATCTGTTAACTTAGGGAAAGAAGAGAAAAGAAGCTAACATTTGTTGAGTGGTTTACTCTGGGCTAGACACCATAATATGTGTTTAACATTTGTTATTTCATATAGTTGTCCCAACAACTCTGCCATGTAGCTGTACTATCATTACTTTAAAAAAAAATTTATTGTGGTAAAATGTACATAACATAAAATTTTCCCTTTTAACCATTTTTAAGTGTATAATTCAGTGACATTAAATATATTCATGATGTTGTACAACCATCACTACTGTTTATTTCCAAACTTTTAGATCACCTCAAACAGAAGCTCAGTACTCATTAAGCAGTAACTTCCCTCAGCCCCTTGGTATCCACTGATCTACTTTGTTCGCTATGCATTTGCCCATTCTAGATTTTTCATATGAGTGGGATCATACAATATTTATCCTTTGTATGTGGCTTATTTCACTTAGCAGAATGTTTTCAAAGTTCATTTATGTCATAGCATGTATCAGAACTTCATTTCTTTTTACAGATGAATCATACTCCATTGTATGGATAATACCACATTTTGTTTATCCATTCATCTGTTGAGGGGCACTTGGGTTACTTCCAGCTTTTGGCTATTGTGAATAATTCTGCAGTGAACTTTGGTGTACAAGTATTTGTTTGAGTCTCTGCTTTCAGTTCTTTTGTGGATATACCCAGGAGTGGAATTGCTGGATCATAGAGATAATTGTGTTTAACTTTTTGAGAAAACACCAAACTGTTTTGCACAGTCACTATACCATTTTATATTGTTACCTACTTTTTAATAACAAGGTAACTGTGGTTCAGAGAGGTTGATCATTTGACCCAAATCACATAGTTAACATGTAGCTGAACAATGGACTGTCAGTCTGCCTGGCTCCCAAATCATTTCTCTTGTCACTCAGCATAGTTTGATGGATAGGTACCTATGCAGCACTGTGATCAAGATACAAGGTCAAAATTGGAACAGTTCAGGAAGTAAAATTTAGTTATGTGTTAACTTTGATTTAAGGTTTTCCTAAAAAGCCTTGACAATTGAAGTGGTAATTAGTACCTTGTTTTCACAACCAAAGGTTTTAGGACAGATCTAATTTAGCTATGACCACAGGACCATAGGTTTTACATTAGTAAAAGTCTTCTTAAGTATAATGGTTTCTACTCCTCTAGAGATTAATTACTTGATACAGTGAAGAGTGTATATTTATGAACCATGTAGGTTAATCATTTTCAGCATCTGTTTAGAGGATATTTCTAATTCATTTCTCTACTTAGGGCCTTACTGACTTCCCAATCTGGTTTTCCTTGCAGCTTATCCCTTGCTTAGTTTTGTGAAGTTTTTTCTTAGAGTATTTTTTTTCTTCTTTCATGACTTTTCTATGATATTTTCTTGATTTTTTTATTTCTCTGCTTTTCTTGGTGTTTCTTTTGCTTTCGTATTTTTTCCATTTCTGACAGCTAAGTATTATTCCCCATTTTCCTATAGACAAAATTATAAGCACATAGAATTTCAGAGTTTTAGGGACGCTTAGAGCTTAATTAATCAAAACACCCTGTAGTACTTTAACCTCTGTTCAACATCCTTGGCAAGTGGTTGTTTAGATGGAGGACCTGAAACTCAAAAGAGATAAAAGTGACTTATCTGGATCATATAGTAAGTGGCAGAAATGAGATTTGAACTCAGTTTGTTAGATCTAAGCCCTGTGCTTTTCCTTCTTTATTATCCTGTAGGTAAGTGTTTTAATAATACAAAGATGAGCAGTGGGTCTAGTGACAGAAGAAAAGAGGAAAAGAATGGAGTAGTTACCAGGGGAGGGCGTGTGTGAAGAGTAACAGCACTGGGTTGGATAGGAATAAGAGTTTTAGAAAAGATATCAGAATATTGGGTTTATGACAGGTTTGATAAAGATAAATTATAGGAGTGAAAGACAGGATGTTGTGAGTTACCTAGAAAGGCATATTAAAATCGGGGGCTCAAGGGAGTCCTGAACAGGGTGCTGCTTTCTGTTGTTGTTGTTGTTTGTTTTTACTTGGAGGAGCTAACAGACTTCACAGTTTCTACTGAAAGGTGTTACAGTAACTTGAGCCACTTTACAGTTGATAAGAATGTGGTATCTGTACAGCAGATAAGAATATGGTATCACCTACTACCATCCCAACCTGTAGAGGATGACTTAGATCTCCTAGAATACTAGGAGCCTGAAGGTTGCTGGACTACATGGGTCTATGGCCCAGAACGAGTGTCCTCTCACCTCACCTCTTTTTCCCAATTTGCTGATGTCCTTCCCATGTACATATAGGAGTAGGGTAGAGGTAGGTTTAGCTGTCAAGTCAGTCATAAAGCTTCAGTCTGTAGTTAGTAACATGTTTATGTTGGGGATGGATGACTGAGACTGCATTTAGCTTTCTTCTCAACAGCAGGGAAATAGAGAGCCCCTACGCTTGGTCATTTGAGACCATCCTTGTTCCAGGAATCTGGGCCTTCATAGTCTAAAGGTACAAGATTGGAGACTACCACTGATCCCTGCGAAGAGGGATCTGGGAGTGGGAGCCCATAGGAAGGATGATACCTAGACAGTACTTGGGAAATAGAGATACAGCTACCAGGGCCCTGCTTTAACAGTAGTCTCTCTTGGATAGCTGAGTTCCTAGGAAGGTTTTTATGGGCTTGCTAGTTTATGTAGGCTTGAATAAGGCAGGACCTGTATAGGAAAAATAATTGGATTTTATACTTTTTAATGTTTTAGTCTTCCTGGGAATAGTCTTCCCACTAACAGCATATACATTTGTTCTTTGACTTTTGTACATTAGTTTTGAAGTATTTCATATGTTTTAGGGACTGCCTGTACTGTTTTTGAGTACAGGGTAAAAATGGGAGCAGGGTTTTGGCCTTCATAATAAGTGGTTTCCATGTTGGACAGCCAGCACTGCCATTTTGACTGACAGATTAGTGTTTAAACTAGGGACAGACAATGGACACGGGACAGCTCATCTTTCTACTTGGTTTTAGGCCACCAGTTTTGTTTCAGTTTCTAGAGGAAAACTTAAATCAGCCATCAATTGTAATTTTCAGTTCAGGACTTTTGGTGAAAACAAATTATTCTCAGGCTCTGCCAGTATATTGGCAATCACTCTTTATTATGGGGACTGAAAGTGAGTCTTCATTGACTGTTTTACAGGTTGGGAGAGGTGGAGTCAGAAATAGATAACTTAGTGCTTTTTTTAAAACAGAAGTAAAATTTTGTCAAAAAATGTCATTTAATGTATACCCATGTTTTTACACAAATAATGTGTGTGTTCTACATTTTTTTTGGCCAACTGCCCCTCCCCAGGTATTTTCGTAAGTACACTATGCTAATTCTTTCTTACAGCAACATGTAAAAAAATAAGCATAGCATGCTTATGAAAATGCGTGGGGTGGGGGAGGGCACGGTTGGCCAAAAAAAAAAAAAAGAACACGTGCATGCGTTATTTGCCTAAAAATACAGTAGATAGCCGACATTTCACCATTTTTTCTTACAGACGTGAGCTCATTCTTTTTTTTTGTATATATATTTTTGCTCTAAAGGCTTTCCAAGAAACCTGGTGTTGATGATTCATGGCCTACCTCAGATGATGAAGACCTAGATTTGGGTATCCAGGTAAAGTGCTCTGTCGTGAAATTCATTTTCCTGCTCTGAATTTCGTTTTATGTAGTATATGCTTTTAACATTTAGCAATAGTCTACCTGTTATTTTTTATTTGTAATGGAAAGTTATTCAGAGAAAACAATTTGATAGAAACATGACTGGTTGATTTTTTTTTTTTTTTTTTTTACTTTGGTGAAAACTGAAAAAGGGGAAGTGGGGGCTGAAAAAGAATAGGCAGGAAAATACATAGTGACAAGAAAATTATATCGAGAAAAGCTTTCCCACGATGGAGGAAATATGAAAAATGGTCAAGGATAAGGATTCTTTCTGTGACTTTTAAGTCATACTAATGCAACTTTTATAATACTCATGCCTCAATGAAATCTTTAATGGATCTAATTACTTATTGTAATAATCATGAAATCTCCCTGGTGTCTTTCAATTCCAAAACTATACAGCATACATCATATATATATATTTTTTTCTTGGATGCTTTTTATTTTGATATCTCATATTTTGTTAGGAGAGAATTTTTTCTCTGTTTCCATCCTCAATTCTTTGTTTAGACTAACGCAGTATTAGAAATTGTGGAAATTTAGAAATTTAAATTTTCATTCTCAGAATTCCTATTACAAAGGGATTCCATTGTGCTTTCTAAATCATTCCATTAAGAGTGTTTTTAAAAGTCTTCATCTGATTGCAGAATGCATGTTTTGCCTAAAATAACCATCTCTAAAAGCAGACTCTTGATAACCATATACTAAAACTTCCAATTTCAGAAATTTTTGTATTATGGTTTTTAAAATATCTGCTCAAGGCCCTAAATTTCCAAATTTCTAAAATTCCAAATTTAAAAAGTTTTTGTATTACAGTTACAATTTAATTTACATAACAGTGAATTTAAATATTCATTTTAAGGCCCTGCATCTCTGTAAGCTACTGGAGGTTAGGAAACATATTTGTTTATATCTTGGAGCACCTAGAATAAGGTCTTTACATGTAAGTAGCATTTTAATGTATTCTGGATGTGAATAAATGAAGAGACAAATGGATTTCTACATACTAGAGTTTTACAAGTAATATCATATGCATAATATACCTAATAATTAAATCTATTTGGATTTCTAAAATATGGCTTAAGTTAATATTCCCTTTTAATGTTTGGGATGTATAAGTTCAATTGAGTTATATTAAGAAAGTATGTCACAAATAAGAAAGAAATACGAAATACATCATAAATAAGAAAGAAGATCACAGTATACTTTCTGGTATTCTCTAGAACTGGGGTTTGAATCCACATCTGAATGACTCCAAAGCCTATGCTGTTTGTGTTAGATCACATACTAATGGTAATGGTGAATATTTTAATTACTTCATCAATTTCGATACTTGTTATTTTTAAAATTATTATTTTTTTCCTAGAATGTCGCAAAGCCAAACTTAACAAAGCTAATCACTGCCTCTCAGCAATCCAGGAAAAATAGTAAGCTATTTGAAGACTTCCTATTCTTGCATTACTCACTGATTTGAAATTATAGGTATTTTCATGTACTCTTTACTTTGCTTTTACTGTAGTAGAAGAAAAACCTAGCATTGTGAGACCAGAAAAGAGAACCTTGTTTGAGGACAGTAACTCTGATAGTGAAGATGAAGATGTGGTTGAAACTCTTCCTAAGCCATCATTCACAGTCCAGGGCTTTTCTCATCCTGCCTTTCCACCATCTGACCCTCCTTTAAAACCTTCCTTGAATTTTTCAGCAGTCCCTGGTGTCACAAAGGTAAGTTGTTTTTGTGTTTTACCTTTTTCCCATGCTCTTCCACATACTGTACTCCCATGCTCATAATTGTACATCAGCTTAAAGATGACAGAGACCCTAGAAAGAAATGTAAGTCCTGAAGATCATTAATAGAAAGCAAGTGCCATAACTAGTGGAGATAAATTTACAGGATTAAGATTTATAAAAAGTTGGTGGGACTAAACAATTCTTAAGTATGCCATTATGGAAGGAAATAATTAGAAATCATCCGACCTCTCCCCCGAGAAAAACAGCTAGATGAGTATGGCAGGGAGGTGAAGGGGAAAATTCATTCGAGAAGAGCAAGATGAATATAAAAGTTGAATAAGAGAATAAAGATGAGGGAGATTAGTATAAAAACACTAAAGAAATAGTGGGGTTGAATGAGAGCAGGACCTCTCTATATCGTTAAATATCATACAAATTCTTTTAAATGGAAATTAAGAAAGCCAGATAATGAAAAAAATACTCAGACTCTTCTGAATCACTTACAGCTGTGATTTTTATGAAGTGCTGAAAGAAAACTTAATTCTCACTTCTTTTAAGTTTGGTAATGATTTCTTTTAGTATAGCAAAAGCTGTGTTCATAGATAATGCAAAGTGAAATCTGTTTTAGGCCTCATCAGATTTATTATAAATTATAAATTTTTGGCCTTTTTTTTTTTTATGATTTCTAACTTAACTATCTTATTGTTTTATATATCTTTGGTAGGTGTTTTAGAATTTTTTGAGAATAAAGAGAGAAATAAGCAAATAAATGTTTATAGTCTTCTCAATATTCAAAAATAAAATTAAAATTTCTAATTATGTAAATAAGGGTCTAAATTTATATCAATCATAAATGAGAATTAGTGTTTTAGAATTAAATCTTTCCATTAAACTTAAAAATGCATTTTACCACAATATCCCAGAAATAAATATTTGCATAAATTCTTGAGTATATTTTATATCCTTGAACCAAATGTTGAAATACATAATTAAAAAAGCATCTTTTTTTTTTTTTTTTTGGAAAGGTGGTTTAGGTGATAGTTTATAGAGCAAATTAGTTTCCCTTTCAACAATTTATAGACAGCTTGTTTCGTGACATTGCTTATAATTCCCTCAGTGTGTTAGCACTCTCACTACTTCCTGCCTAGGGTCCCCATTTCCAGTCGCCCAGCTTTCCTGCCCCTTCCTGCCGTCTAAACTTTGCTTTTGGTCAAATACTGCCATTTTGGTCTCGTATGGTTGATTGTTCTGGAGAGTATGTTCCTCACATTCGGTTTATAGACTCCCTGCTCGTTTCAATTTTCAGAATTTCAAGTTGTATTTAGCTTTGCATTATTTTATCAGTTTAGTATGTTTTACAAATATTTATCTTCTTCCACTGTATGCTTTTCCTGAGTAAGGTTGTCTACTCCTATTCCCAGTGTATTTATCTAAATTTTTCTTCTAAACCTCTGGGTGCCTCAAATTTGATATGTCCCAAACTGAAGCCATTGTCCCTTATTTTTATCTTTTCATTGCTGCCAAAGTGACCGTTCTAAAATATATTTGGGACAGTGTAACTCCTCTGCTTAAAAACTTTCAGCAGCTCCCTATTACATGAAGGGAAAGTTCCCTCCTAATGCCCTGTGTTCAGTTTTACCACATTACTTTGGTATCCTTCGTTTGCTGTGTTGTTTCTTGCCTCATCCCTTTGCTTAGAATGCCCTTTCCATCCTCCTCTGCACTTCTGTTCATCTTTCAAGATGTCGCCCCATCTTTGTGGCGTTTCCTGAGCTTCCCAGGTAGAGCTGACTATTGACTCCTTTTTGCCTTTACTGTACTTTATTCACTTAACTTGTAGGATTAGTGAATGACGCTTTTCTGTCCTTACTTGTTTTTATGTATCTCTACCCCTCCTAGGATTAGGGCAAAAACTGTCTCTTGTTTATATTTCAGTGTTGGTTGCCTTACTGACCGATCGATTGAATGAGTGAGCAAGTGAATGAATATAATGGTTTTCTAAAGTTGGTTTTCTTTTTTTCCAATTGCAGGAAGGAGCAGCAAAGCCAGCAGTTGGAAAAAGAGAAAATAGTATTGATATTATTGAAAGTGCTCCAAGAGAGCAAAGAAATAATGACAACTTGACTTACATTGATGGAGCACACAAAAATAATAGAAGTGGTAAGTTAGTGAGTATCTGAAAATTTTTCTGTGCTTAAATGCTACTATAAAGAACTTAAGTGAAAGTGTGTTGATCCTGATATATCTATTTCATTTAAACATTTTTCTTCAACTAGCTCTTTTCATAAGTATTCTAGCTACTAGCAACAACTTTTTCCTAAAACTGTTTCAACCCTCTGAAATTATTTTCTATTACTTTTACTTTATTGAAATGTTCATGAATGGAGATAGACTTGTATATATATTTAATATTCACAGTAATAAATGTTCTTATTAATGTATCTGTAACTACATTTTATAGATATGATGTCAGCGTTAGGATTAGGAGAAGAGGAAGATGTAGAATCACCTTGGGATTCTGAGGTACTGTCTTATTTTTTAAAAAATATAAACAGTGATGTTAAAAGATAAAAGGGGATGCTTTGACTTCACTTTCTCAGCTATGCATATGCGCATAAGGAATTATTTCCTTACGTTTTTCAATCTATAATTTATTAGTTATGTGCTAAGTATAATACTGCTGCATAGTACACTTCTGCTAATTTGCAGGATTCACTTACTGAAACCAATGTAGTACAATACAAAAGCACCCTGGCTTAGAAGCTACAGGGAACCAATTTGGGTTCTGGAGTTAAGTTTATCTAAAAGTTAGAGAACTATTCCAGATCTGTCTGTAACCCAGGTACATGATTTTATGTGTAAATGACCTAATGAGATTCAGAGAGAAACAGCTTATACTGTATTGTTTTTTAAAGCTACTTGAAACTTGAAAAGGTAATGTCTGGGACTTGAAAGTATTATTATATTTGGATTGTCAAGTAGATCTGCAAGGAACATTTCTGGAGAAGGAAAAGCATGAGAATAGTAATAAGTTGGACTGCAATAAAAACAATTTGGTTTAGTGGTGTTTTAATAACTGTTTTGGATAGTTAAAATAGAATGCATCGAGTACTTCTGGCAGGCATGCTTATAGTACCACAAGTATAAAGTAATGATGACCTATACTAAGGTGACTACTTTGGAAGAGATAGGAAGGGCCTGATCTCCTGGATACAGGCAGATGCTGCATAGTGGTACTAGCGTTGTATCTGAAGTCAGAAGACATGTTAGTGTCTTGATTCTGTCACTTACTAGCTATGGGATCTTGGAAAAAAATTATCTAACCTGTTCGAATGTCAGTTACCTTGTTCATATAAGTGGTACTAAAACCTACCCCAGGTATGTGTAATGAATTAATATGGTAACAAATGGGAAAACATTTTGTAAACCATAAAAGATGCTATACAAATGTGAGACACAATGATCATGGTGGTGTTTACTGTAGTGACTTATTAAATATTGAGGAAGCTTTGTTTTTTAAACCTAAAGGACAATAAAATGGCAGTAGTATCAAGAAAAGAATGGAGAAGTTAGAATAAGCATGTGGATTTATAAATTGGGGTATGTTAACTTTCAGTAGACGGTTGCTGGAGATATCCTGTAGGTATATAATGATTTGACACTTGAGGCCCTCCTGATGAGATTTTAAATGTTTTAACCTTGAATAAATTTCTGTTATTGAATATCAACTATGTGCCAGGCAGTGAGACACTGAACATACAAATGAGAGCTTATGCTGTGTTAGTAGGAACAGAGAAGTAAACAGCAAACAATTACAAGTTACTAGGAGTATTCATATAAAGGAAACGGAGAATGTTAGGTTGGAGAATATTGGGGGAGTTGGTAGTTGAGGTGGGGATGGCAGTGACAGTGGGATTTAGTTAGGTAGAGAAGATTCGAGTGTGACGTTTAAGCTGCTAACTAAAGGATGAGAACGAGCCAGTGATGTGAAGGTTTGGGAGAAGAATAGTCTGGGCAGAGAGAACAGTGCATCACATCTGTTGTGTCTGTCTTGTTCACCATTTTACTCTTAACATTTGGAATGACCAGCAAGCAGGAAGTGGGGTAGCCATCATCATAACCATTCTTGTTGTTGTGTACAGAAAAGAAAATGTGCATAATAAGTGCCTGGCACATTTCAGATGCTTAATTAATGTTGTTAGTCTCCCCTTCTTATGAAAACTTTCTGGTTGTTTTTCAAATATTTCTTAATTTGGAAAGAGTTGCATCTTATATCTAATATTTGTTTGCTAGTATTTAAATATAACCTGAAGAGAAAAATTACTTACTCTTCATCATTTTATTCAACAGTTTTTTCTATCAGTAAAAATTTTGTCAAATTTTTGTCATGAAGCATTAGCCCTTATTTGTTATAGAAAACAGGTTCCTACCAGCCCTTGTTTACCTAAATCAAGAAGCTTCTGAGATGTTCTGTTTATATTCAGCATGACATACTGTGAAGTTCCTTATTATGCCAGGCATCTTATTTTAAACTATTCTGTCATCTAGAAATATTTTAAATATTTAATGCTATCTGTATTATAGTAAGGGTACTGATTAAAGAATTTATTTAAATTCATACTTTTTAAGTGTCCTTTTATCTTTGGTGCGGAAATGCAAACTACAATTAGTTATTTTGAAGTCAGTTCCTTGTTGAATTAGATGCATACATCAGTATTTTGTGTATAAATATGTCTTCCCCGGCCTTTCATGCTCCGTTTGCAGAGTCAGTAACTACATGATGACGATCTGGAAAGCATAGATGAGGCTTTCCATTTAAATGCCTAGGTTTTCAGTACATGTGTCTCTTACTTTTAAGTCTAATTGTTTTTAAAATAGGAATTCTGGGAAAGTGATTAAGAAATCTTTGTGCAACTCATTGTTGATATTAATTTTAACAGAGTGTCTCTGAGAGTCTTGCACAGAAGTATGTTGGTCATTTTTCTGGAGCTACAGATGAAAAAGGAGAAAATATAGTAAATGGACAAATAGAAGGTATAACTGTATTTTATGAACAGTCATTTGACAGAATGTTTACATGAACATGAGTACTGATACATTCTAATAGCCAAAAGAAAATTTATAGTAAGGCTAAAGAGAAGCAAAATGGAGATAAGTTGTAGATGATTAGAGAAGGTGCCACTAAAGGGGCTAAAGTACTAACTTAATTTCAAAATACATTATGATCAGAGGGAATTCAGTAGATAAGGAAGAAGAAGGAGTAAAAGTAGAGGGAATGAGGAGTGAGAAAGACAGAGAGTACAGGGAGTAACTGAAGGAAAAGGAGGCAATGGTTACATAGTAGAAGGTGGTAAAATAAAATGATTCTTTAGAAAAATGCAGGACAGGATATTAGAAACATGCAAAGAATATAAGGCAAGATTCCAATTCCAAAACTTACCAGAGAAGTAGAGTAATAATTTCCCACACTTACTATCTTCCTCTGGAGCCCTGGTGGTGCAGTGGTTAAGAGCTCAGCTGCTAACCAGGAGGTTGGCAGTTTGAGTCCCATCAGCTGCTCCTTGGAAAAGGCATTAAGGATTGAGGCAGTGATCATGCAGAGCTATCTACCAGGGATAAATATAAGCATGTGTGGTCAGCTGTAGATGTATATCATTTAATGCCATATAAAATGTTGCTACTTCATAGCACAGTATCATATAGGCCACAAGAAGAGAATTGAGAGAAGAAGAGAGCAGGGTCCAGTTTTGGAGAGAGTAAGGAAGCTAAAGCCTGATTAATATGTCCATTAGAAACTTTATGATATTTAATGCACTTTCAGTTTTGAGGAAGCAATAGGGAGGAAACTTGAAGTTAGATTCCAAAAGAATAAGTTCAGGTAAAGGAATGTGGAAGCCGACTCATTATAGATCAGAGCTTCTCAAACATTAATGAATCACCTGGGACCTTGTTAAAAATTTAGATTCTGATTCAGTAAGTTTGGAATTCTTTATTTCTAACGAGCTCCCAGGTGATGCCGATGCTGCTGGTCCTCAGATCACACTTGGAGTAGCAGTGGTGTAGATGTCCCTGTAGGGAAATTTGGAAGAAGAGTCATAGGATTATAGTTCAAGACAACAGGATCAAGGAAAGGCATTATTTTGTTTCTGAGCATGTTCATGAGCAGAAGGAAAGGAGCAGAAGAGATAAAGAGATAGAAAGTTATATATGCAAGATACTGTTGCTAAACAAGGATGAAAGAAGAAGCGGTAGGGATAATTCATAATAAGAACGCAAAAAAGGAGGACTCAAGACCACAGATCTAGAGGTTACTTTTAAGAGCAAGAATAGTGAATGTTGGGAGGAAGGAAAAAAAAACAGTTAGCTAGATATTTTGGAGTTGATCTTAAAGAAACTTTAGAGAATTCACTTTAGATGACCACTGAAACAGAAGATTAGATCATTGCTGTTCCAGAGAATACTGCAGGCGGGAGGGAGTGCCACAGTTGGAGTAAACCTCAGCCACTCATTTTTTTCCCCACAACTATCAGGCTTCAAACATATGTGTTGGATTGGTGTTCGTTATTCAAATGAGATTAATTTGAATATGAAACGTTGACTCTTTTTTTGGGGAAGATATCTCATTTTTTTTGTTAAAAGAGCTTTTTCATAAAAATCCTCTTAGAAACTGGTGTGATATACCAAACCAAACTAATTTTGGAAACAAAACAAGTGAGTGCATTCCCTGAATACTAAAATTGTTATTTTCAGTAAATATTGCACTGATTTTGAGATGTAAAAGGCTATTAATATTTAATAATTCTGTACTTAAATTTCTTTTTTCCTTTTTGATAACCATATTTCAATATTGAAAGTTTATTATACATTGTTTCTTAGATGTGTTTTATATACCTTCTTGCATGAGTGGACCCAGAAACTTTAAGATGGCTAAACTAGAGGATACAAGAAATGTAGGCATGCCAGTAGCCCACGTGGGTATGGAAAAAAATGAGTATTTTTATTAACTGTTATTCTACAAGTGTATATACAAGGTGATCAATTCAGAACATTTTGTTTCTTGGATGAGGAATGAGTTATACGTTCAACTGAACTGTCATCGACTATATACTTCCTAAATTGCAGGACAAATTGAAGGACATGATAAATGCTTGTAGGATAATGGTATAAATGATTCTGATGTATTGCATTAAAATATGCTATTGCGTTCTACTATCAGCTTTGATGTTTATCCTCTCAGGGTCATGATTTGCTCCTCTGATTAAAGATCACTTTTCTCCCCATCAGTCAGCATGTTCACATTGGTATATGCACACTTTTTGTTTTAGTTACAGTCATTGGAAACATAATCGCACTTTTGAAATCTTAACTGCATGCTTTGTAATACCTGTATACCTGTTGTTTCTTCAGTATTTTTAAATGCATTTGTATTTCTTTCCTGTTGCCATTGTAACAACAGAAACAAAAAACCCCATATAATCTAAACATTTCTAAAGCCAAGCATGAGGATTTAGCTCGATACTAATTCTGCATGATTGTGTATGCTTGGCTTCTGTCATATTTACATGTAATTGATTGTATGTCCCTTTTGCTTTTTAGATTCTCCTGAGAAATACCCCCACTTGAAGGTAATAACTTTTATATAACTTACACACTTCTATCTTTAGTTATTAACTACAGATTGTATGAAATGTACCTTATTTATTAATCATCTTGTTTCAAAGCCCATTCAGCCTATCATTGAGATGAAAGATTCTACTCCTGATAAAGCAGCAGAAAGGAAGGATGTACAGACATCCAAATCAGGTAAATTTTGCAATATATATTTAACTCTGGAAATAAGTACACTAAGCTATTTGAAATGTTCACAGTCTTCTTGTTTCTAATTTATTTCATTCTTTTGCAAGTTTAGTTGAAGGATTTGACATAAATAATACAAATGCCATTGTTGTTATCCATGTTTGAAAAAAAAAATATTTAGAAGCATAAGTAAAAGATTTTAAATTTGTAAGCTTTAACTCAGATGTTTCCGTTTTTCATACTTTGTATACCCTAAAGTTCTCAGTTTGGAATTCCAGTACTTCTTAGGAATTCACAGAGGTTAATAATGGTACTCTTTTAAGATTTTTTTCTAATGTTTTAAAATGCTTGCTAGAATTCTGACCCTTAACAAGAGCAAAGCCTCACTTGTTCAAGTGTCAGTTGTGTTTTAACTTTAATTATTTCATCTTAGTGTTGTTACACTGATGATCTTAAGCCAGTCAGATGTTCCGATTAGCAGATTCTGTCTCTGTGTGTGTGTGTGTGTGTGTGTGTGTGTGTGTGATGTCTGGTATGTTTATTAAAAATGGGGAAAATCATTAGTCATTCCTTAATATTTGGTAGATACAATCTTTTAAAACAATGATTCTGAAACTTTTCAGCCTTAGGATTCCTTTACGCTAGTACATGTTATTGAGGATTCTGGAGAGCATTTGTTTAAGTGAGTTATATCTATGGGCATTTACCATATTAGGAATTAAAACTGAAAAATTTTAAATACGAGTATACACTGTCACACGTTCCATTAGCTATTAGAATATGATGTTATCACGTATCATTATGTCTGTGGAAAACTCCATGGTTCAATTAGAAGAGAATGAGAGTGAAAACGACAGATAACATCTTAGTATTGTTATGAAAATGGTTTTGACCTCTTGGACCCGCTGCATGGATCTTGGGACTCCAGAGAGTCTCAGATCACATTTTAAAACCTAAAGGGTCCCCCCGAAAAATAAAATAAAATAAAACCTAAAGGTCCCTGGTTGGCATAAATGGTTTTTGCTTTTCTGCTGACTGAAAGGTTAGTGGTTCGAATCCACCTGATGACACAGAAGAACAGCCTGGTGATCTACTTCCATAAGATCACAGCCATTGAAAACCCCGGAGCACAGTTCTCCTCTGACACACGTGGGGTCTCCATCAGTCGGCAGCAACTCAGAGGCAACTGGTTTGAGCTTTTGGTTTTGGTTTTGTAAACCATATATAGGGTTCATGGAAGTAAAGTGATAAAGGTGCCCTTGGAAACGGCCTTTAAAGTTTCACTTCTACATTTCTTGTTTTTTTCTTGTTTAAATCTGACAATTTGGTTTAACAAAAAAGGAAGAAATATTTTTGTTGCATATTAATTTCCTGTGTCATGGCACGCTGTACTCTTTGGATCGAGTGTTGACGTGGACTTATCCTATCTTTACATGGAAACATTTAGGTCACTTAAGGCTATCATCTCTTATATAAATTTATGGTGTTTATCCAAGGCTTAAAAAATGAATTCTGAAGATGTTGGTGTATTGAGGAGAGATCATCTTGTTGAAAGTAGTTTTTTTTCTTTGTTTTTAACTTTTTTTATTGTACTTCAGGTGAAGGGTTACAGAACAGTTTCTCATTAAACAGTAGTACACATATTGTTTTATGACATTGGTTAACAACCCCACAACATGTCAACCCTCTCCCTTCTCTTTTTTTTTTTGGTGAAAATAACCAAAGATACACCATTTCAAAAATTTCTACACACACAGTTCAGTGACATTGACTACGCTCTTCCAGTTGTGCTGCTATTCTAACTTCAGATGCAGGTTTACCGAAAAAAATAGTTTCTCATTAAACAGTACACATGTTGCCCTATGACAATGGTTGACAACGCCACTACACATCAACATTGTCCTTACTCGAGTTCTGGCAAAATGGCGCTCTAGGC